CCTCCCGACGCTGGGGGAAGGGGATGAGGAGGGCCACTCTTACCTCCATCAGCCCCCCCGACGTATCCAAGTCGTACACGATCGTCTTGGTCTCCATTTTCTCCCACATTCATCCAACTCCCGGGCTGGGCGCTCTCTGCTCCGGCCCCCCCAACCCCGGGGGGAGGGGGGATTTGGGGGAAGGGGGGGCTCCTGACCCCGGTTCCCCTTCTTTTTTCCCAACACGGGTCCCGACTTCCTCGCCCAGGCTCCCCCCCACCCCCCGGCCCCCAGTTCCTGGGACGGCAGCGTCCTCCCCACGGGCCGTGAGGGGGGAGCGGCCCCTCAGTCCCGGCCCAGCGGCTGACTGCACAGTGGGTCCCGGCTCCGGGGGTCAGGCCTCGGCGGGGCCTAGTCCCACAGGCTAAAGCCGGCGCTGGCGACCGCTGGTCCGGCCGGGAAGGCTGGCGGGCGCTGCCATCCCGGGGTTGGGGGGATGGGGGGGGGCTGAGAGGTTAGGTGAGGTTGTGGTACGTGAGGTGACTTGGGGGAGGGTATTGGGGGGTGGTCCCCGGGCTCCGCCTCTCGCCGCCGCCGCCGTCTGCGTCCCGGCTGCCGCGCACTTGGCGCAAACTTACCGCGAGCGCCCGCAAAGCCACCCGCGCAGGCGCCCCGGGATCGCGGCTCGCCGCGCGCAACCGCAGTGACAGCCGGCGACCGGGCTCCCGCGCAGCCGCGGTAAGGGGGTACCCCCCAGCGCGCAGCCGCGCTGGCATCCGTCTGGAGCCCCGAAGCCCCGCCTTTCTGCCCTGCGCCAGCGTACTGAGCTAAAAGGGCGGGACCTGATGTCTCGCGCAGGCGCCTGGGAAAGCTCACAGGGGTCATGGCGCAGCCGCACGAACCTGGGGACTCTTCATCCATTGGTGTTTTGTGTGTAGACCAAGAGGACGCTGTTCCCCGCGCAGGCGTGTTGGGCGTGCTCCCCTCCCGCCCCATAACCACACTGCCGGCTCCCGCGCAGGCGTATTGTCACCYGCAGGCCCTCAAAAGAAAGCTTCTCTTTTCGCCATTTTGGTAACGGGACATGGGCTATCGTGCCCTTGAAGTCCTCAGGCACGAGCAGGAAGGAGCAAGATGTGGTGATGGATGGAGCTGGTAGGCTGTCGGCGATAGCGGTATTCATTGGGATATTGTACTGGACTATTTGGTTCCGGCGTCAGGTGTGGCTGGACCARGCCGCCATATTAGTAAAGCGAAAAGAAAAGCCATTGCGACAAAAAACGACGCCTTTGGTGGCGGACTGGGTGGCTGCTATTCCCACATCGCTCCCGCTCCCGACAGTTAATTGTAGCCCGACCATCCCTGCCTCGCATGGTGACGGCACTGTGGGGTGTTCCACCTGCTTATTACTACTATCTTTTGAAAACTCTCCCTGAGAACTGTTCTTCAAGATGAAGCCAAAAGCCGAGAGTCCGTATAATTGACCACGCCCAGCTGCCTGACTTACAGTGGACTCCAACTCCCAGTTTGCAATGCGCAGAGGGGTCAAAGGGCGAATGGGCGCGCTTTGCACTCTGGGAACAAGAATCGCGATAGTTCTGATGGATTGTGGGAGTCGTAGTTCCGTGTGCGTGCGGTGCACTGTACCGTAGGGTGGATCAGGGAGAGTGGTTTGCCCTCTGGGAAGGGATACTTTTGAGAGCTGCCGAGCTGTGTACTGGGATTTGTAGTCTGAACCCTCTCACCTCGAATTCTGGGCGGAGAGTCATGCTTCTGTCTCGGCTCTGGCCCCTCCCCTTCCCTTGGTCTACTACTCCAGACAGTGGATGAAGCAAATGTGGAGGGAGCTGCGTGGTTGTCTCTGACAATAAGCATTTAATTATCGTTGTTGACATGTATATGTGTCCCGCTTTTTTTTTTCCTTGCTTTTTTTTTGGGGGGGGAGGAGTGTTTGGGGGATTGAACCCAGGGGCGTTCAACCACTGAACCACGGTCCCCAGTCCTTTTTATTTTTTATTTTGAGACGGACTTCACTAATTTGCTGAGGTTTCTTATCCTTTTACCTCAGCCTCCGGAGTCGCTGGGATTATAGGCATGCGCCACCATGTCTGGCTGCTGCCCACTTCTAATGTGAAGGCACACACATAACATTCTCGAGTTGTAAAACTGAAACGGGCTTGGAGACCACCTAATTTAATTCATTTCCAGTTGGACGTATGGAGCAGTGATTTGCAGAGCTCACATAAGTGACTTTATGGCAAACCTAAGCATGAAACATTTCTTGATTAACAAACCAGACATTGTCCACTAGGCCATGCTTGCTGTCTCCAAGGAATTATTGGGACATTAAGGAGGAGGAGTTAGGGTGGGGGTGAGAGTGTGTGCAGTATCAGGTTTCTGGTTTTCTAAACTTTCACTCTGCCTTTTTTTTTTTAAATACATATTTTTTAGTTGTAGTTGACACAATACCTTTATTTATGTATTTATATGTGGTGCTGAGGATCGAACCCAGGGCCTCGCACGTGCTAGGTGAGTGCTCTACCACTGAGCCACAACCCCAGCTCCTTTTTAAAAAAAAAAAAAATTTTTTTTTCAGTTGTAAATGGACCCAATATCATTATTTATTTATTTATTTTTATGTGGTGCTGAGGAGCTAGCCCAGTGCCTCACGCATGTGAGGTGAGGCAAGTGTTCTACCATTGAACTACAACCCCAGCCCTAAACTTTCACTCTTCTGATTACTATTTTGTTACCTTAAAAGAGTAAGCTCTCGCAGTAGTAAAGAATGTCATGTAAATCGACTGCTTTATGACTTCTGTCAGCCTCAGCAAACAACAGACTTTATTGGCTATGGGTCAGAGGTGTGATCCTCAGAAAGGGAGCTAGACTGCTCGTATGGAAGAGGCAAAACCTTGTTCTTCCTGTAATTGTACTTTATGTCACAATCCGTTAGAAGTTAACACTTCATGTGCCCTCTTTGGTTTCATTCCCCCTGCTGAGAGCCCCGTTATGCTGCTGTGTCAGCCTGAAGGTATTATGGGAGAGAGAAGTCAGCCATTGGCACATACCCAGTAAGCAGAGCTTTGCTTTGATCATCACTATCATTTGCAGCTGAGAACAGGAACAGGCCGGGGCCAATGAAGGAAACAAGACTTGACTTTGTTGACAAGTGCCAGGGGAGTTAGACACTCCACACACTTTCCCTCTTGGAAGTTGGAAGATGAGGTCAGCCTAGTGGTGACAGGAGTTGGTGCCACCTTGGAGAGCTCCTGCGCTAGTTGTTTAAGAGGAATTGGGGAAGAGCAGGTGGGATACAGATGCCTTTGGAAGCGACCTCTTGTGGCTAATATAGGCATTGCATTCTGCGTAAACTGGAACTTATGGTTCCTTCAAAGCTGCTTGTCTAATGCCATGATTTGTGGTCAAGACCTCCCAATTGGAAGACTTCAGAAGCTGAAGGTGCTGGTTGCTGCTATTATTTATTTCAGGGACTTTTGTCTTCTGGCTTTTGAGTTCCCATATTTCCCTTGCTCTTATTTTGGAGAGCAGCCATGCAAGGCACACCTCTAACAAGCATGGAATGTGCATGCTGGGGACCTACGCCAAGCAGATACTTTCATCTCAGGAAGCTCTGTGGGATATATGGAGGGGGAAGTCAAGTGGATCCCACCTAGCCACTCTTTCCATATCCCCTGGGCTTCTGCCTAACTTAGGTACCAAACCCTTAAACTTCATTGTCCCTGCTCTTGACAATCTGGATGGTTTCTGAGGCTAAGTCAAACTAAGGCTTAATGTCCAGGAGTTCAGTTTCTGATCCCTATTCCAATTTACCAAGGCTTGCTTGCTTGCTTGCTTGCTTGAAAAGAAGGGAAAGGAGAGATGTGTCAGGCTTCCTGGGACTTGTTGGCAATCCAGTGACATTGAAAAAGGTTTGGTAATGTGCCAGCTTACACTTCTAGATCTATTAGAGGAAGAAGTGAGATATTGGAATGAATGAACAGCTGGGTTCCTAGGCTCTCACCCCTGTGGCACCACCCAGTGGAAGCTCTAATTTCACCTGCCATTTGTTGCATTGACCTTTTGGGGACCATGGTGCCTACTCAACTGCATGTAAAATAAAAGCTGAGGGATATTGGTTAGTGGGTTCAGCATACCATATGATCCTGAGGTTCATGTCCCATTCATCTACCACCCTCCTTCCCTCCAAGAAAGCACCATCCACCTGAACATTGCTTGATTTTTTTTTCCAAAAACACCATTTTAATAAGGAAACAACAGAAATAAAAGATTGTTCTCTGGCTGGAGCTCAGACCCCATATAATACATTATATATACAAAATTGCCTTCAGCCAGCTCCTGGGCCTCTCCCTGGGGCTCTCTGACTCTGTCCCATGCTAAATTCCTGGGTCCTTGGACCTCTGCTCATCTCCAGAATATACCTGCCCACTCCCCTTATGCCATTACACAGTGGCAGGAGGAGCAGCCTGCCAAGGGGCTTGGATGAAGGACTAATAGGAAAGGGGGTATTTGTAATAAGCCAACAAACATCAGGAGAGGGTCCCCCCTCACTTCAGGGTATAGGGCTGCAAGGGAGCAGTCGGGTATCCTGCTTTGGTGTGGAGTATGTGTGCCCATTGGAGCCCACCCTGAGCTTGGGTAGAGTCCCTGAACCCTTTGGGTCCCTTAGAATTATTGCCTCCACCATTTCAGGGCAGGGGGCTGAATTGTCCATTTCTGAGGCTTTAGCGAAGGGCCAGAGACTGCCCTAAGGGGCTAATGTTGGCACTCCAGGATTACCCAAGGTCACCATTGAGAGTGGTTTTCACTCCCCGTGATGGCCCTGTGAGTAGCAGCCTGGTGTAGTTTCCACCACTGTTGAGTTAGTCCAGGGCTGGGTGGTGGCCATGGGAAAAGAGGTGCTCCTGTTCTGCCTTCCAGGCAGGAGGGCCAGAGTGTGGGGAAGGTTTGAGAGAACACTGGCTATCGATGATGACAGGTRTCCCTTGAGTCAGGTGCCCCTTGACTTGGGCCTAAGGAAGGGCCCTAAGTGAGCAGTGGTGCCAAGAAAATAGGCCATCGTAGGCATTGCACAACTTCTTGAGGGATGGATGGCATCTCTTCCCAGGTGGTATGTACAGGAGCTGGAGCGACAGCAGGAAGCCAGGAGCCATGATGCTGGGCTGCGTGAACCTGCCTGGGCTGCTCCCCCCTAGATGGAGACTTCATATTCTCTCGTCTCCTGCAAAGGAAAGAGACTGCTGGGAGTTGGAAACTTGTATAAGGCTTGCTAGGCCATAATCCACCTTCCCAAGGAAAAGGGAAAGAGAGAGGGCTTAGCAGGACCTCAGGGGTATCTATCCAAGGGAGCAGAGAACTGAATTCTGGAGAGGGTGTCAAGGCTAGCGTGGGTACTTACTCCAGTCTCATAGGTTGGATTGTCAAATGCTGACTCCACGGTGATGCGGTTATAGGGGCGAGGACGCGTTCGGGGAAGCTGCAGGGGACTTTTTCCCTGGAGCCTGTAGGGCAGAGAAGCTTGTAAAGCAGGAGTGCAGTGCAGGAGTGAGTCAGGTATGCAGAGCAAGAAGGGAAGGCACACTCACCTGGAGAAGTAGAGGTACACACCTCCCACCAACAGCACCATTGCCACCAGTGGCAAGAAGATGGCAGCAGCGATATGGGCAGCATCCAGGGTGCTAGGGGCAGCAGGTGCTTTGGCAACTGAAAACAGAGGGTGGGATTGGACAGAGGTCCCTGTCACCAGGAGCCCACTTCTAATCTCTGCCCAAAGGCAGCCAGATAGCAGTTCCCTTTAGCTCTCTAGGAGTAGGGAAAGAGTTTTTCACCCTGTTAGGCCCAGACCTCTCTTTCTTTGCCTTCTACCTGTGGGGAACCCGTGGCCTGGGAGCTGCTGTGACAACCAGGTGCAGGGAGACCACTTCCCTGGCCCTCAAGGGTGAGGACTCACCATCCAGGCTACGGCCGCTGTAGAACCCATCCAGAGAGGCTGGAACAAGAGGGGAGGGCCAAGGGCAGTGGGTGAGCCCAGTGGGCCAAACCACTAATGCAAGGAGCAGAGGTAGTGGGCTGATCACAGGAAGGATTTGTCCAAGGAGAGCCCACTCCAGGTCAGAAGGATTTGGCAGAGACTGGGGAGACCAAGGGTAATGTGAAGGGGGACACAGGAAGGTGGTTCTGGTTCTCAACATTGGACATCTTTGCCAGAGTTGCCCTGTGGGCTAGGCAAGGTTTTGAGGGAGGGCAGGGCACTCACCAGCCCTACAGATGGGTGGGGGGTCACTCCAATGCGAGGGATGCCCAGGCACACACTTGATGCTAGCCTGGCCCTTTAGCACATAGCCAGGGGCACAAGAGAAGTGGACAGTGGCTCCTGCTGGGTGTAGCCGCTTCTCAGGACTGCGGGCACCATTCTCAGGGGCGCTGAGGCCATGGCACGGCTTGAGCTGTTCCACTGCAGAGCAGGCAGAGCCCAGTGAGAATGCCAAGCCTCTAGGCCAAGGGCAGCCTCTTTTATTTCCAACCAGAGACTCCCMTCCTACCCATCTGACACTTACAGAGACACTTGGGGGCCCGATCACTCCACTTGGGGCTGCCAGCCTGGCGGTCATGACAGGTGAGGATGGCACTTCCCGTCARCACAAAACCCTGGTCACAGATATACTGCACGGTGGCCCCCACAGGAAACTTGGGGCTGGATATGAGGCGTCGGCTATGTTCCACATCCCCAGGGTCATGGCAGGAAGTCACTATGAATGGGGGGGTGATGGAGAGAGGACTCAACGGAGGCCAATCCGCCCATGGCTTTGTTCCAGCCAGCTAATATCTTCATATTACATGACTCCACCTCCTACTTCAATGTCTCTACCATTTTTCTGGTGTGTTTCCTTCCATTCATTAGGGTCAACAAATACTGATTGGCTATAACCAGGAATGAAATAACTTGGAGTACTTGGCTAATGACCCTATGAAAAGGTATCATCATTTCATAGATGAGGAAACTGAGGCTGAGAGGTATAAGAACTTCAAGAATACCAGCTAAGACAGTGGGGACAACACACTAGATTCTCTCTCATAAACCCAGAAGAGGGGCTTGCAGGTTGGATTGGGCAGGGGATCAAGGGGGAACAGGGACACTTACCTCTCTGGCATGAAGGCAGGTCCTCACTCCAGCTTAGATCCCATTGGCACATGAGGACACTGGATCCCACCACCTGGTAGCCAGGGTAGCACTGGTAAGTGACCACAGTGCCATGCACCAGCTCAGGCTGTGATGGACTCTTCCAGCCATTGGGGATCTCAGGCAGCTCTGGACATGTGTCATTGCGGGGAACCTCTGGGGGCACAGAGGCAGCAAGATGCAATCCTTTAGCCAACACCAAAGCAACTGGGCCAGACCCTTAACCCAAGGGCACTCTAGCTTCTTCTACTTTGTCCTGGGCCTAGACTGGCCAGGGCAGGCTCAGATTCATTCCTCCCCGCTCAGAGGTCCCTCCTTGCCTGTCCCTGACATTGTTCTGTCTTCTGAATATCAGGGGAATCATCTAAACTTCAGCTTTATTTCCCAAAGCACCTTGGCCAGTTCCTCTGGCCAGAGAGAAGAGGCCAGATAGTGTAAGGAAAATAAATTGTCATTTCTATTAAAGACACCTAGAAAGGTAAATAGAGTCCAACACTTTTCCTTAGGTTTTTTTTTGTGTGTGTGTGTGTGTTTGTGTGTGTGTGTGTTGTTGTTGTTTTGGTATCAGGGATCGAACCAAGGGGCGCTTAACCATTGAGCCCACATCCCCAGCCCTTTTTTATATTTTATTTACAGACAGGGTCTTGCTAAGTTGCTGAGGCTGGCTTTGAACTCACAATTCTCTTGCCTCAGCCTTCTAAGCTGCTGGGATTATAGGTATGTGCCACCATTCCCAGCAGCTTTTTTTCTTTGTTAAGGAAAGTTCCTCCTGCTGCCTCTCCAAATCCTTCATGCTGCAACAAAAGGGCTCTTTTTCTCCTGGAGCTCTTCCAGCTTTCCCTTTTCAAAAAGAGCACTCAGGCTCCTGATTACCCTGTCCTCTTTGATCTGCCATGATTTGGTGTCTGCATTTGGAGTGAGCCAGGGACAAGCTCACCAAAGAAATGGATGACAAATCCCTGCTGATAGCCCAGCACTGAAGTCCCTGGGTCCGATTGGAACTGGATGGTGACATCAGCCATAGAGGTAAAGAGCTTGAAGTGGCCACGGGGCCCCGAGTACTGGCCMAGGACTCGAGCTGTCAGATCATCCCCATCATAGAAAGTAAGTACATCACCAGGGCCTATGCGCAGCCTGTGGAGGAGGATGGAGGACAAACAGGTCAGGAAAGGCCCTTGAGACCCCAGGATGGACTAGATAAGATATGTCCCTAGACCTCAGGAGTTAGTTGGCTTGGCCTGATGGGAAGGCACTTACACTCGGATGTCCAGCATGATGCGTTTATCTTCTTCTACGTGCACACCCCAGATGCAGTCCTGCCCACGGCCATAGGGCTCTGGCCAGTTGGGGGAGAGCACCACGCCGGCTGAATCTGTGATTTCCCCACTGCACACAGCTGGAAGGCAAGGGAGGCCCAGGAGGCACGTCCCCTCCGTTTTCTCCCCAGTACTGTCCTGGGGCTGCCACCTGCCCACAGAAGGACTCACCCATTGCTGGGAGCCCCTCCCTCCTCCTCAGGGGAACATATGAATTGCACATGTCACAGGGCCCCTGTGGCCCCAGAATCTGTGGCTATCTCCTTGATACCCACCCTACTCACTGCCCTTGCAGGCCCCTCCTCTAGTGCCTACTGACCTCGGCAGGCCGGCTCTGTCTCATTCCACTGGGGGTCGTGGGGGTCAATGCACTCAATGATGATGGAGCCCTGTTCCAGGGTGTAGCCAGGGTCACAACTGAACTCCACGGTGGTACCCACAGGGTAGGAGGGTGCGCTGCTGCTGAAGTTGCCGTATTTGACAAAAGGCTCATAGCAGTGGCCCTGCTGGAAGGCTGTGAAGCACAGAGCCAGTCCAGCTCAGCCTCAAACAGGGTAAACATGGGGCAGACATCTTCTACTGCCCTCCCCTTTTCATTCCTAAATGCAAAGGTATGTCCTGGGCTTGGAGCAGGGAGCAGTGGGGGGACGGGAATAGCCCAGAGCATCCATCTGTATTATGCTCAGGAGGCCATCTTGATCACCATTGTATTTCCATTGCCTAATTTTGTGCTTAATGCATAGAAGTTGCTGGATAGATTTTTTTAAAAGTGGATTAATGAATGCATGCATATATGGGCCTCTTCTCAAGTATTAGGGCCAATTTTGCTTCTGAAACTTTGGAGAATTAATTCTCTTGGACCAGAGGGCCTGAATCTAGACAAGCGGCTCTGGGAATCCTGGGCCCSGGGGGAGGGGCAGGGGGTGGCCGACTTGGAAGGATGTGATAGAATGGAGGCAGAGGGAGAAGGTATGGGAGGAAGGCCATAGTCCCCACCCTGTGAGGCCCCAGCAGGCTCACCCTCATAGCGCAGGGCCATGCCTGCAGCTGCCCCGCTGCTGTCAGTACTGAGCTCCACAAAGAAGTGTCTGCCAGAGCTGAGCAGGCCCTCAATGGGCAGGTATTCCACCTCGTAGGAATCATACACAGGCGGGGCCTCCACATTGTCCCCATTGCGAATGATGAGCCTAGGCCAGGAGAGTGGCAGCTATGTGGCTGGTCACTGACCCAGACAGGGTGTGGCCCCAGGCTTCGGCATCCCTCCAAAAGGGTACTACCCGGTCAGGCACTCCCACCCACTAGGACAGCCCCTCACCTGTCGTCATCCTCTGCTAGGGAGACCTTCTCAAAGTGCAGGTGCAGCCGCTGGCTCTCAGGAGCCTCAAGCAGCCAGTGGCAGGTGAGGTTGTTGCTGTAGTTTCCCGGGAAGCCCGGAGAGACAATGCGGCCGATGGTGGCATTGCGGATCACTCCACCGCAGGCAGCTTTGAGACAGGGATGGACTTGGGCTGGGTCTCTGAATGTATCCTCAGCAGCCTTACAAGCCTTCCTCCCCATCCCAGCCCTGTCCCTTCTGCATGGGGCATAGGGACCTTTGTCTCTCCGCCAACTCCGCTGCCATGGTCCTAATAGTCCATATTTTAGCCCTATGACCCTGCAGTTCCAGGCAGCCTGGACTTCAGAATCCTACCTCCTAAACTAACTTTCACATCTCTGAGACTTTTCATATGCATTTTTTAGGAGGGGGGTGAACCCAGAGGTGCTTTACCACTGAGCCACATCCCCAGCCCTCTTTAATTTTGTTTWTTTGTTTTTACTTTGAGACAGCACTTTGCTAAGTTGCTGGGGGCCTCACTAAATTGCTGAGGCTGGCTTTGAACTTGCAATCCTCCTGCCTCAGCCTTCTGAGCTGCTGGAATTGCAGGTGTGTGCCACCACATCCAGCCATATGCAACTGTCCTGATTGTCAGTAGATCTGTCACTGCCTAGCTTTATGGACTGGGATAATGTTCCCTCTCTGTTTTTTGAAACGGTCTCTCTAAGATGACAGGCCTCAAACTTTTGATCCTTCTGTCTCAGCCTCCTGTTGCTGGGATTATGGGCATGTGTCACCATGCCCAGTTCCCTCCCTCTCTGTTGACTCTTCTAGGAGGCCTTCCCTGGCTTCCCCAAATCCCAAAACAGATTTTATTAAAGCCCTTAGTCTAGGTATTGACCTTCCTGGATACATCTGCTACCTCTGACTCATGCTGCTTKTCTAAAAACCAGTTATCTGGCTTGCCTGGTATGTGTGCAGCTCTGGGTTTGATCCCCAGTGCTGCAAAAATGAATGAATGAATAAATAAATAAGTGAATAAACAAATAAACAAAATAAAACTATTTATTTGTTTAGATCTGTCCCTTCAGTAGGACCCCCTGGCGCAGGGACCAGGTCATCTCAGGCCAGGGGCAGAGTGGGTGTTCAGGGCTGGGTAAGTAGAATGAGTGAATGAATGTAAAAAGAGGAGCAGGACTGGACTGGGGAGGGCAAATGCCTGATTTGTCTGCCATCCACCCCAAAACCTGTGCCTTGGCAACACTGCTGGCTGGAGGTGGCCTCCAATACTTTCTGAAATAGCTCTTCAGTCATCACTAGTGTCATTCCTGGGCTGATACCTTAGGGCCTCTACAGACTGATCCTTCTGGCCTGGTACTGTCCTCTCTTCCCAAGGAAAAGCTGAGTAGGTCACCTGAGCCCAGCTGGCAGGGTCCCTGTGCTACTTGGCCACAAACTCCTGGCAGTTAAGTGGGGCCAACAAAGGGGCCTAAAGCAGGAGGAGCTGGCTGGTTCTGGGCTTTCCTTTCCTGGTCACTGCTCTGGACCCTCCTGCTCTCAGCGACCAGGGTATCATGACCAGTACCCAGTACTGTTGCCTGCAAATGCTCCATTTAGCAGAATATTGTAACCTAATATATTTTTTTAGGGGGCTGGGATGATTTCTTCTCTGTTTCTTTTTTTTTTTAATATTTATTTTTTAGTTCTCGGCGGACACAACATCTTTGTTTGTATATGGTGCTGAGGATCGAACCCAGGCCGCACGCATGCCAGGTGAGCGCACTACCGCTTGAGCCACATCCCCAGCCCCTCTTCTCTGTTTCTTGGCAGAGAAGGTGGAACTACGTTTCAGCATGGACTTGCCCTTCAAATCCAATCACATCCTATACTTTGCTTAAAAATCACTCAGTGGTTCCCTGTTGCCCTCAGGATAGAGTTCAAGTTCAAAACAGCATTCAAGACTTTCATGGATCCAACTCCGCTGGCTCAGTTTCAGTTTCTCCTTCCTATATACCCTCTCCTTTAGGCACACCTCACCATGTCCTCACTGTGGCATGCTGTTGCAGGTCTCCACACCTTTGTTGCTGTTCCAGAATCCGTGCCACTTTCCCAAGCTAACATTTCTGGAAGCCTTCCACACTCCCTCCTCAGGAAGCTTCGCTGCCTCTTCTCTCCTTTCAGAATCACCCCCCTCCCCACCCCCCGCCACCCCGCCTGGGTTCCTGACACACACTTGTTAGCCCTGTCACAGCCTATCTGCCCGCCCCCTGCCGCCGTACTGAGCTGCCCACCAGTCTTCCCAGAAGACTAGGGAGACCTTTAAGGGCAGAGGACATACCTGTCTTATTCCTCTTTGATTGTGGCTGGCACCAGCAAGAGTTTATAGAATGGAATAAGGTTCAAAAGCTCAAGCCCTTCCCTCCCCAAAAGAAAAAAGCCAAAGTTGCCTGTCATACTGAGGACAAAACATGCGCCCTATCTTCCTTCCCCACCTACCATGAGCCCCCTTAGGTTGGCTGCCAGCCAGGACCAGAACCTGGGGTCCACTTTTACTTTCCTCCCATTCCCTCATCAGGGTCTCTGGAACTTCTTCCTTCCTGTGTATTCCCAAAGCCATGGTTGAAGTTCAATCCCTCTTGCCTGGCTGGCCTCCCAGACTTCAACTGAGACTGCCACCAGGCTGGCTCACCTGAGAATAGTTCTGAGCTCCTCCCACTTCCTTTCAAAAACCTCAACAGCTCCCCACCTCATAGCTTGGCCAGCCAGTCAAGGCCCTCCCTCTGCCCTCTCCACCTGGCTGTCTTCTGTGCCCTTATACACCCTCTCCTTCCTGTCCCTATGTTATTGCCCACATTGTTACCTCCATGGAAATGTCAACCCTTCAGTGCCACCACCCCTAGGAAGCCTCCTCAATACCCGACTAAGAGTGATTGCTTCCTCTCCTCCCAGGTTACTTTAGGTCTCTTTCTGGTACCTTTTACTTCTGGCTCTGGAAATTAGTGACCTATGTGCCTTCTCCCCCCCTTTCCAGGAACTATGATCTCTTTGAGGTCAGAATCCCTATTTAATTTAACTCTGTATACCTGTGGTGCCTCCATACAGTAGGTGCTCAATAAATGCAGGTTAGATGAATACCGCTAAAGTGACTGACCATTTTCTGATTTCCTTATGGAGAGTAAATAAAAGTACCAGACAGCAATAGAGAGCGGGACTGAGCCCCAGCCTTGCTCCCCTACTCAGCCTCCTCCCCAGTGTCCACTTACCAATGCAGACAGGTTCCTGGGAATCCCAAAAGGGCTGGGTGGCGTTGAGACAGGTAAGGAGCCTGGCACCTTTTAGCTGGTAGCCAGTGGCACAGTGGAAACGGGCACTGCCTCCTGGGTGGAGGCTGGTGACAGTCACATCTCCATAAGCTGGACGTCGGGGAAAGTGGCAGCTCAGGAGATAGGCTGTAGAGAAAGAACAGGTGATATTGTGTGTTGTGGGGGAGACTAAGCCATTATGGGAGGGCGTGTGAAGGCCTGTGCCAGTCTGCCTCAATCTTCCTCAAGGTGTCATTTGGACCAGGGGAAGCATTACAGTTTCTGAAAAGCTCCTGATCCCTTCTCTAGAAGATATCAATGATATTTTCAGCAGCCTGGACTGATTAGTAGAACAAGCACAGAGCTGGAGGTTAGGTGGCTTGGGTTCTGGTCCAAGGTTTGTGACACTTTGGGCAATTTACTTAATCTTTTTGTGTTGTTTCCTCATTTGTTAAAATGGGGTTCAAAATGCTGGCCCAAGCTGGGCACTGTAATCCCAGTGGCTCAGGAGGCTAAGGCAGGAGGATTGTGAGTTTAAAGCCAGCCTCAGCAAAAGCAAGGTGCTAAGCAACTCAGTGAGACCCTGTCTCCAAATAAAATACAAAATTAAAAAAAAAGGGCTAGGGGTTTGGCTCAGTGGCTGAGTGCCCCTGAATCCAATTCCTGGTACCACTCCCTCCATGCTGGCCCACCTATAGGTTTATTGTGAGATTAAATGAGATAGTATTTTATGCCATTTGGTTTCCCTGTCATCCAGCTGATAACACATCCATTTTTTTTCCCTTCTGGGTATTGAACCTTGGGGGTGCTTTACCACTGAGCCACATCCTCAGCCCCTTTTATTTTGAGACAGGTTTTCGGTAAGTTGCTTAGGGCTTCATTAAGTTGCTAAGGCTGGCCTTGAACTCCTCTTAGTCTTCATGCCTCAGCCTCCAGCATCACTGGGATTACAGGTGTGCACCACTGCACCCAACTTGACAATACATCTTTAAGAAGTGTTTATGACTGGGCACAGTTAGCACATGCCTGCACTCCCAGCAACTTGTGAGGCTAAGGCAGGAGAATTGCAAGTTCAAAGGTAGCTTGGGCAGTTTAGGGAGACCTTACCTCAAAGTAAAAAATAACAAGGGCTGGGAATGCAACTCAGTGGCAAAATGTCCCTGGGTTCAACCCCCAGTACTGAAAAAAGTAAGTTTTTATGGAATGATATGTAGATGCAAAAGAAATTGAAATAGTAAACCACCTATAAGACCTAAAGCTTTGATATCTTTTTCCCTGTAGGAGACAAACTAAATTGCAGCAGGAAAAATTAAAGTCAGCAGCAAAAGACTCCCCAGTATCCATTGAGAAATGTTAAAAAGCTTGGTGGCAATGGTGTGGACTTCTTTTAAAGAGAGAATGAGGGCTAAGGTGTGGAGGCGGAGCAGCCTTCATAGAAGTTGACGGTGGGGGGCTGGGGATGTGGCTCAAGCGGTAGCGCGCTCGCCTGGCATGCGTGCGGCCAGGGTTCGATCCTCAGCACCACATACAAGCAGGGATGTTGTGTCCGCCGAATACTAAAGAATAAATATTAAAAAAAGAAAAAATTCTCTCTCTCTCTCTCTTTCTCCCCCCCACTCTCTCTCTCTTTGAAAAAAAAAAAAAGAAGTTGACGGTGGGACTAGTTGCCTTGGTAAACCTGGGAACTTTGGGAATTGTCATACCAAGCATGACCACACGATGGCAGAAAATCCTACAAAACAACTTGGCAAATCCCAGCCCTGGGGACAAACTTGGTGCGGCAGCTAAAAATGGAGATCCTGACTTGGGGGTGAGAAGTGCAGTAGAAGGCCTGAAGGGTTCAAGGAGAGGGGCTGAGAGCAAGCTTGGGCTATGCCTCTATGTGTCTTTGCATGAATAGAAAATGGGGCTACCCTCCTGGGCAGACCAGAGCCCTAAAACCTGAGTCTTGTGCTGTTCTGTGACTTTCACTTGTCTTGTTCTTGGTTGCTTTGTCTGTGAAAGCAGGAGGATGGGTCATACTCTTTTCTCTTTCACAGAGACTAGCCATTAAGAGGCTAGTTATGATTGGCAGGTAGTATAGGGCAATGTTTAGGAGGTGGGCTCCAGAGTCAGAAAGTCTGGGTTTGAATATGGTCTCCCCTAYTTGCTGTGTCATCTGAGGCAAGTTACCTTCCTTCTCTGTGCCTCAGTTTCTGGGTTTCCCCACCCATTTTGAGTATTGCATTCAATGCTGTGGAGGTTAACTCAGAGGAATGTGTGCAATGCCTGGCTTAGAACGATCACCTAACACCTCAGCCTGCTGTTAGTTTGTATTCTTGAGTAATAATAGCACCTCACATTTGAAGCATTTGCCAGTTTCTGAAGTGCTCTCACACCCTTTTATTGTTTGTTTGTTTTTGTGGTGCTGGGGATTGAACCCAGGGCCTTATGCATACAAGGGAAGCACTCTACCGACTGWCTAAGCTCTAGCCCCCAGCCCTCTCACACCCTTTTTACTTGATACAATTTGCTTGGGAAGGAGATAGGCAAGGTAGGGGTTATTAACCCATGTTTTGATAAGGAAAACAGAGGTTCAGAGAGACAGGCTCAGAGGGCCTGTGTGCCATCATCACACTGCAGGTAAGTGCTAGAGTAGGGACTTGACCTGGCTCTGGAGCCCATTGGTTTTCCACACTCCCCTACTCCTACTTCCCCAGTTAAAGCAGAAACCTAGGTTCAGATAAACCTGAGGATAACAGACAAGGCTGCCCTGGGTTTAGGGTGGTTTAGGGTGGCTGGTCCCAATGCCCTGAGGAGAGATCCCAGACCATGATGGAATGGGGATTGTGAAAGAACTTGGGACACTATACAAAGAGAGGAGAGGATGGGGTACCACCCCCAGGAGGTCTAGACCCTGAGCCAGATTTTAGGCTCAGCACTTGCACTTGCAACTTCCCCTTGAGTTCAGGCACAGCTTGGGAACAGAGGTCCCCTCATTTCACAGATGAGGAAACGGGGCCAGGATGAGGCAAGGGCAACAGGCTGGGGGCAGAGAATGAAGCCCCCAAGTCTTTATAATGGTTAAAATGCCTCTTCCCAGGATGAGCTTCCTCCTATTGCCATGACAACCGTTGGGCGATGCTGCACCACCGCAATCTGTTGAGTTATTTTCTCATTGGCATCTGTTTTTGGAGCCAAGTTCAGTGCCAGGAATGCTCAGGATGGAGGAGGGGTTCGCTGTCAGGACCCACTGCCTTCCTACCCTGCCAGAGACTGTGAGAGCGCGGAGAGTTGGAACTTGGTCCTGCCAATGTAGCCCTTGTGTGGACCCATCTTTGTGACCTCCCACATCGGCTTGGACAGCTCCCACACTGGCATGGGTACCAGGCCTCTCCCTCCCCTCCTGGCACCCTCTTTCTCCAGCCCACGAGATGCGCGTGTGAGTACACGCTCCTCCTGTTCCCATCTCTGGGATCAGGGCTAATTACAGCCTATAATTAGGGGAATTACACTCATTAAGGAAAGAGCTGATCATTGACAAAAACTGGGCCGAGGAGGGAGGGCTTCCGGGAGCCCAGAAAGAGCAGGACCGGGCCAGTTCTCCCAGCCCTTCCTTGGGGTCTGCTCCCCTTTGCTGGGCCTCCAACCCATTGCCATTCAGCCACTTTCCTCTGGCCTGACAGAGAGGGGGTTCTGGAGTTTTGTGCAAAGGAATTTGCGGAAAGAGAAAAGGTTACCATGGCGTGAAATTACGCCGGCTGCCTGGGAGGATTGATGAGCCATTAGGGAGACTGGCGGGCCGCCTAGATGCTCACCCCGGCCTCGGGCCGGCCCCTTGCCTCTGCCAAATCCCGGCCCACCGACAGACTCCCTGCTGCCACGCCAGACTGCTCCCCCAGTTTGAGTGGAGAAGCCAGAATAGGGCAAATACTCCGAAGGTGGGATACAGGGCATGCCTGGCTCTGGAGTGCCTGCCTACCTGCTGGTCCCCCCCCCCCCCCCCCCCCCCCCCCCAGGGCTGCAGAAGTACCCACAACAATGCAAGACAATCTCGATTGTTCACACCAATTATTTCCCAATTAGTGCTCTCCAGTCTGAACTGGTTAACTGGTGCAAAGAATCAAGCTGCTGCTAGGGCCCAGGGAGTGGGATGGGCAGGAAGGATACCACTGGGGGAGCAGCAGAGTCCCAAGTCCCCTTTTCCTCCCCTTCCCAACCTGCAAACTGTGCAATACCAGTTTCCTTAGTGGAGCACTTGATTTGCACTGGTTTTTTTTTTTTTTTTTTTGTACTCCTTTTTTTTTGGGTGGGGGGCACGGGGGATCAGGGATAGAACTCAGGGCACTYGACCACTGAGCCACCTCCTCAGCCCTATTTGTATTTTACTTAGAGACAAGGACTCACTGAGTTGCTTAGCGCCTCACTTTTGCTGAGGCTGGCTTTGAACTTGCAATCCTCCTGCCTCAGTCTCCAAAGCTGCTGGGATTAAAGGTGTGTGCCACTGTGCCCAGCCCATTTTGTGTACTCCTAACCGTGACTTTGTGGGGTAGATGTTTTTGGTCTCATTTTACAGTAGGAAAAGGAGGGTCAGAGAGGTGAAATGACCTCTGAGGTAAACAGTTAGTGAGAAGGAGATTCAAATGCAGATATGCCCATCTCCTGAGCCTAGGAGATCCCCACTAGTCATGCCACCTCCCTCCTTCCCAAAGTGTTATGAGCTGACTGGAGTAAAGGCAGGTCCCAGGTAGACAAGGAAGGCCTCCAGATAGTCATTTTCAAACCCCTTTGACCTTGACCCCCCTTTGGAGAGAGGCTTCTATTGTTATTGCCTGTGTAAATGACTGCCTCTTCCTGAGATTCTGAAACCTTGAGGGCAAGGGCCTGGGCTGGTACATCTTGATTTTTCCAAAGTCCAGCACAAGCCTGGCAAAGAGAAGGTGGCTTCAAATTGTACTGAATGTAGCAGATGACAGTGGCTACTCCTGGGGGCTACCTGCTCCTGAATCCCATGAGCCATACTTACATTTGTATAGAGCTTCACTGGGCACCTGTGCAGTAGGTTATTAGCCCCTCCCTTTGTCCCCTCTCAGCTGTAACAGCACCAGACATCCCCAGAGATCAGCCAGCCTGGGCTGGTTCCTCTCTTAGCTTCCCAGGTCTTACCTTGGTAGTAGAAATGGAAGGTGCCAGGCCCAACCGGTGGTGGGAGGCTCTGGAACCTCAGGGCTGCTTGGTGGGTGGGACTGCGGATGACTTGGCCCCGTAGCAGGAAAGACTGATTGGCCAGGGGCAGCGGATCAGGGCCCCCCAGGCCCTCCACGGTTACTGTCTCCCCCTCCCGGAGGCTGATGTTCTGAACCTATGGGTGGATTGGAGAGAGCAAAGCAAAGCAGTCAGACTTCTCCCAGCTGCCTGAGCCCTGCTGCCCTCAGCCTCCTGCAGGTCCCCCAGCTGATCCTCAGTGCCCCTTGGGCATCAGAGCTCTAGGCCCTGAGCTAGGCACTTTGAAGCAGGAGGAGCTCATCCTACCTTCTTAGTAACTGCACGATGGGACCTGAAATCAGAAGTATTAACTAAATTACCCAATGTCACATCGATAGTATAAGCAGACCTGGGACTTGTCTATCTCCAAAGCTTTGCAAGTACATCAGTTAGTGAGGAGGAGATTCAAATGCTTCCTGTCCCCACCCCCATCTGGAAAGCAGGGATGGGGTAGGTGTGTCAGGCTAGATGGCATCTGAGAGTCCAGCCAACAATGTGAGGTCCTAGGCTTCCCCTGGACATTCCTGTGGGATGCCTCAGAGTCTCCTTACATCCAGTCTGCCTCACACTGAACCACACTCTTTCCCCAACCAGTAGCTCCCGGGCTCCCATCTCAGGGAATGATCTTGCTAACTACCTGGGTACCCAAGTCAGAAACTGGCATTTTGCCTCTTCCCTCAGACCCCGCATCCAATCAGTCATTCAGTCTGTCAAGTAGACCTCAAATCACCCAGATCAGAGCAGCAGCCACTGGCCTGCCTCCCTGCCTGGAGGGCTTAACCCCCTCCTCCTTCTACATCAATGTTTTCTGAACTGCAGCCAGACAGGTCCCAGGCCTGTCACTCATCCTGGTGCTTCCCTGTTTAAATCTTCCAGTGTTTTCCCTTTGAGTCCACGAAGACTGTGGTACTAGTTTGAACTCCTAGTTTGGTCCTCCAGGCCCTGCCCAACGTGGCCCCTGCTGGCTGCTCAGCTTGGCCTTTTCCAACCCCCTCCATGTGTCAGTGTGTGTCTCCACGTTTTGTTTCTCTTTTCTGGGTCTTTTGCTCTGATCCTTTCTGCTGGTTGTCACATGTTCCTCTGCCGGCACCCTGATCTTCAGGCCTTCAATCCCTGGAACATCCTTCTGGGTGCCATCTCTCCATCCAAACAAGGATGGGACAACCACAGACACTGCCCAGAAGGGAAGAGACATCATAGCTTGATCAAAGGAGCACTGGATTGGGAATCTAGAAATCCCAGAGGTCCCAGATCTCATCCTAACCATGGACAAGTATGCCACCTATTTGAGCTTCAGTCCCCTTGCTTTACAGTGATCTTGTGTAGRTCTTTGCTACTCTGAAATGTGTTCCCTGGACCAGAAGCAAAAGAGATTCCACATTTCTTGCAACCTGGGAGCTTGCAAGAAATGTGGAATCTCGGATCCCATTTCAGATCTGTAGAATCATACTCTGCCTTTTAACAAGAGCAAATCAAAAGCACTGATCTTCTTAGTCTAAGAAACCTAACATGTTGTTCTGAGGCAGGGCCTTCGAGGGTTAACACCTGGGTTGGTCAAGTGGCCTCTGGTGAGTCATCCAATCCTTCCCAACCTCATCTTCCAAATGTTCCAGCTGGTCCCTCCTGGCTCTCTGCTGCTCTCTTGGCTCTAAGCGCATCCTGCTCTTTGTTTCTTACCTGAGGATGGCCTTCTAACCAGGTCCCACCCCTCATCTCCCAGGCTGCCTGAGATTGTGTCTCTCTCCTTTCCCAAACCCTGCTGGTGGTTTCAGGTTGCCCAGAGGACAAGGTCCGAACTTCCCAGCTCACAGTTGGTTCCAGTGACTTTGCCAGCCTTGTGTCCCTGCACTGCAGCCCCTGGCTTCCTACCCGCCTCTGCCCCTCTGGGTATTTGCTCAGGGAGCACCTTCCCTTCTTCCCCTCCTCATGAACCTGGTCATCCTTTCAGATCTCAGGACCTGCTGGGCACCGTGATTTATGACAGTGAGGAGGCAGGAGGATCACAAGTTCAAGGCCAGCTTTGGCAGTTAAGGAAACCCTAAGCAATGTAGCAAGACCCTGTCTCAAAACAAAAAAACTAAAACGGGCTGGGGATGTAGCTCAGTGGAAAAGCATCTCTGGGTTCAATCCCCTGTGTCAACAAAACAAACGAAAAACAAAATCAGGGTCTCTACCCCTCAGGCCTGGCCAGTGAGTCTCTGTGCTTCAAGCTCTCCCACTGGGTCCTCTGTCCTCTCTCCAATTAGATCCTGGGGTGGCATCTGGGGTCACAACTGGCCAGTCTCATTACAGATGGGTGGAGAAGGCAAATGCGTAAGCCAGGGAGGCACGTTCCCCACCAGAGCTCTGGGAGCTGAGCAGCAGAGGATGCTGAGCCCAGCCAGGTCCAAGGAGATGGGCGTTTCCCAGCCCCGAGCCCCTCAAAAGGTGAGTATTGAGACTAGATGTGCCCTGAGGACCCTAGAAGGGGCAGAAGGGCAGGCAGAGGTCCCCACCCAGGCCTGGAAGGAAAGACCGGGAGGATCTTGGCAACTGAAGAGAAGGCCCAAGGCAGGGTGCTAAGGGCAGAAGTGCCTCCTCTCAGTGGGGAGCTCCTGGCCCAGGCACATTTGGGTGGAGGCTGCCGGACCATCTGTTGGGGACTTTCCTCAGGGAATCCCTGCAGCAGGCGGAGGCTGGATGAGGTCCCTTCAAACTTRGAGATTCTGTGATTCTCGAGTTGGGAAAACAAGACTCACACACGTGGAATCTGTAATTATCGAGAGACGCCAGGCAGCATATAATTCTGCCTTAAGTGGCACTGAATGCGTGCAGCAGGAATCCTCGAGGGGAGAGCGGAGGGCTTGGAGGCTCCGGGAACGCACATGTGACAGGTGGGTTTCAGAGTGCTTTGAAGAGCAAGAGCGGGGAGCTGGGAGGAGGAGGAAGGGAGGACGTTCACTACAGGGAAATTATGACATGAGCAAAAGCAGAGAAGTACAAATTAAATTGTGTTTTCTTCCTAATTCCTCTTATGCTTTTAGCTTGACCTCTAACTTCCTGCTCCTGATCTCTCTGATTTGCTGGGTTCAGAGAATAATAGCAGCAGTAACAATTAAAAAAACATTACCATTCATAGAGCACCTACAATGTGTCTATTTGTGGTAAAATCCCCACAAATAGACAAGTCTCAGAGAGGCTAAGAAACTTGCAAAAGGTCACACAGCTGTTAAGAAACAGTCTTTCCTGGCTGGAGGCAAAGGCAGTTTTTTCCTCATCCCAGTCTCATGAGGCTATCACCTGCAGAAATAGACTTCTAGACATCTTCATTCCCAGGCTCTAGGCCCCTAGGTTTAGCAGGGAGGTGGATCTTAGCCTAGCCTGGTCTGGTCTGGTTTTCTCATGATGTTGGAATTTGAGTTCCCACTAGCCATCCACTCCCTGAGTGGCCTATAAATCTAGGAAAATTGAGAGCTGAGACCTCTGGCCCCCTCTGATCTAGGGGAGGCATGGTCCCCTCCAGGTGGCCTGGATCCCAGGCTAGCTTGGTGGTAAGGATTGGAATGAGGGTGTGGAACGAAGTGCCTCCCATCCAGAAGGCTCCCTGTTCTCAGCCAGAGGTTCCCTGTGCAGCTCTGGTCCCCTGGGTTTCAAGTACCCAGTTATGCACCCACTGCAGTGGCTGAAATGTAATTTGTCACTTGTTTGAGGGCCAGGCTGACAGGGACCAGACAGGGCTGGGTGTTGAACAAGGGGAGAGATGAAGTCTTGATGCAATTTGCAGGCATCTGAAGAGCCTGGGAGACAGATTGAAATGTCAGCTCCGCTCAGGAGGGCTGTCTTCCCATTGCCCTATCCAGTGACAGGAGGGGGCCTGGGGGATTAGGGTCCAGGAGGGGAAGACAGGAGAGCTGAGGGCAATTTCCACAGGACCCTAGGCTATATAACATGGCTCTATTTCCAGAAGACCAGGGGGTCAGTTCAAGGAGAAAACATGGCCATTTTGTGGGGGCTGGCCCCTTCCTGGTTGGGAGGCATGGAGGAATCRGATTGCTTTCTGCCACCTCCCAGGTTATAAGCCGTGTCTGTACTGTCCGTCGTCTTTTTTTTTTTTTTTTTGGTACCAGGGATTGAACCCAGGGGCACTTTGCCACTGAGCCACATCCCCGGCCCTATTTTATATTTTACTTAGAGACAGGGTCTCACTGAGTTGTTTAGCGCGTCACTAAGTTGCTGAGGCTGGCTTTGAACTCGTGATCCTCCTGCCTCACTCAGTCTCCTAAGCTGCTGGGATAACAGGTATGTGCCACCATGCCCAGCTGTGCTGTCCATCTTATAGAAGCTTCTAGTCAGGCCTCCAGCATGTGTCTAAATGGTGTGACACACAGAGGAAAGGATGCCCTGTTTTTTACACATATTCTCACGAATACAAGGCTGCACAGGCAGAGGAGCTCAAGGATGCCTCCGTGTACCACTCCCACCGCCTGAGGGCCATCCTCACATGCTGGTCACAGCTCCTCTGGACTCTCAGTTGCCATAYTCCCTCCATGAGTACACTCTGGCAGAGAACCAGGAAGAAGGGCCACGGACCTGAGGTGCCACCACATAGTTGAGTTTCTGAAGGAGTTTCCTGAACCCTGAGAAGGAGCTACACTCAGGGGGACTGGTTGGACAGGGCCTCAGGCAGTATCCTGTTTAATTTCCCTTTACAGAGAGGGAAACTGAGGCTCAGAGAAGATAAACAGCTTCTCTCAGTCACTGGGAGGCTGGCTGCAGAGCCAGGACCAGAACCCCAGTGCTACATGGTGTCCTCTGTGCCCTTCTGAACTGGCACTCAACTCTAATACCTTGTGGGATAATATCAGGGGTGGATAGAGGGAACTAAATCCACTGAAACAAACCTTCTAGCGCACATTCCCACCTCCCCCATGGGCCTCCCTGGAGCCAGGAAATAGGAAGTTGCCCAGAAATCCCTCCCCTCTGTTCCTGGTGCTCACATCAGGCCTGGTCTTGACCCAGTTTAGAAGGGTGGGTGTTCTGGCCATCAAACTGACAGCTGGACTGGTCTGAGATTGCTGTGTGCCAATGGGGCCACCTGGGCATGAGGGCAAGGACTGTGGGCAGCTGTGCCCAGACTCCAGATGGTACAGGGAGCAGCCAAGCCAAGATGGAAGCTGGCAGAGGCAAGGCTCATGGAATGCCAAAATGCAGTGAGAAGCARGCACTTGGCCCAGAAAGGCCTGGAGTCTTCAGGGGGAGACTGGCTGCCTGGGGAGAGGATGGTACTCAGTGGACCATGGGGCTCTAGCTTACCCATCCTGAAAGGTCTTCTCTGGACCCTGGTGGAAACAAGTCAAAAGTAGTCCCCACTCCCCAAGTCTGAGGAGTAGCAGGAAGCATTCTAGGTCTCTTAGGTTCAGCCAGGCAGCCCTGTGTTTCCTGTCAGCCACAGAGATTCAGACGCAGAGTTTACCCCCCGCCCCCAATGCCCTGCCCATCCCAGGCACTCCTGAGCCCCTGATCAAACCCTTGGGGGAGGTGGGCACAGCTGCTCCCTGCTCTCTGGCACTCTCCTAGGGAATGTTAGGTCCACCCATCCAACCCCAGTCTGGCTCAATTGTCAGCCTAGGCAGGAGGGCGCTGCTCTTTGGGCAGGAATATAATCCTGATCTTTACCCTCATGATCTGCTCCTATGCAACAAAGTCACCTTTCCAAACCAGCTGGGCAGCCTCCAAAGGCCAGACTTGCCACACTTGCTTTTTCCCATTCCAGGCTTAGCAGCTGGCTTCTTCTCTGRCAGGTACCCTCACCTACAGCCTGACTCCCAGGCTGGGAAGCAACCTCTCCTATTATTCCCTCAGCCCTTATGATCTCCATCTCCATCTCCACCAGCACTGAGCATCCTGTGGTCATATTACTTATAGGTTCTTTTTTCTTTTTTTGGTACCAGGGATTGAACTCAGGGGCCCTTGACCACTGAGCCACATCCCCAGCCATATTTTATTTGGAAACAGGGTCTCACCGAGTTGCTTGGCGCCTCGTTTTTGCTGAAGCTGGCTTTGAACTCACAATTCTCCTGCCTTAGTCTCCCAAGCCACTGATGCTACTTATGATTACTAGCTGCCTCAGCCACTGTGCCTGGCTGCTACTTAGGATTTCTGAGTCCTCCATCCAGGAAGGTCTGTGTCCCCTGTGTCCAGGACAGGGCCTCGTATATAGTAAGTGCTCAATTTAGGTTTATGACACAAATGCATTCATTAAAAAACATTAGTTAGCTGAGTGTGATGGTGCACACATGTAATCCCAGAGACTTGGGAGGCTGAGACAAGAAGATCACATATGAGGCCAGCCTCAACAATTTAGCAAGATCCTAAGCAACTTAATGAGATTCAAAATAAAAATGGACTGGGGAAATAGCTCAGTGGTAAAATACCCCTGGGTGTAATTCCCATTACTGCCCCCCCCACCAAAACAAAACATTAGTTAATAATTAACTGAATGATCTTGGGCAATTCCCTTGCCTTGCCTGGGCCTCGGTTTTTCCAAACTATCTAGTGGATCTTGGTCTGCAATGTCTGTAATTCTTCAGGTCCCAAAGGGCCTGTATGGTGTGACCAGGAGGTCTAGGCAGGGTGGAAGTTGCTAGAACTGGCCCTGGAAAAAGAAGCTTAAACCCTGCTTCAACTCAGCCTGTTCTGTCATTTTGTTCCTCCTACATCAGGTGCTGACCCACCTCTGGCCACCCCATGCCCCTCATGGCCTCAGACTCTATCTCAGGCCACTGGAGAAGACGGAGTTCCCAAGGATTCTGCCCTGATGGTGCTGAGGTGGAGGGTGGGGCCAGTGTGTGCCACGTTCCCTGACGGCAGTCCAGGGCTGTGGCAGGTCTTCTCAAGGTTGCCTGGTAACAGCTTTTGCATTCGGATGAAAAAAAATGTAGCAGCACCAGACAAGAGACCCAGGGCTGTGTGAGGGGGTAGGCGTCAGGATGGAGCTTGGGCCCAGGCCAGGGCAGGGACAGACAGAGCCAGCATCAATTCCATCTTATCCCATTATCTGATACCCATCCTGCTGGGGGTGGGGGTACCATTCAGGCCCAGTGGGTTTCACAGGGGATGGTCGACTTGGGGGGGTAGGGGGAGCCGGCCCAGGCCTGCAGGGGGGTGCCCAGCCTGGCATCTGTCCCCGCCCATTCCCTTCTCCACACCTGCAGCTGGCGCCTTCCACCCTGTGAGCCACAGCCGGTGCCACCTCTCATTAGGTGATGATTTTACATTAATTACCTTAATTAAGCGGCGCTGAGTGCTAATGGCTTGAGAGGGGGGTGGCTGTTCCTAATTGCCCTTCCAGTCAGCCCAGAGTGAGGGGCCCAGGGTTTGGCAGAGCAGGAACAAATARTTTCGGGAAGAAGGGGTGGAACCCAGCAGGGGGAGGAGAGGGTCCGCCCTCTCCGGGCCTGGCTCAGAGACCTGGACCTAAGTTCCCCGGAAGGGAGAACTGGAGGTTCTGCTCCAGGACCAGCATGGCTGGCTTCAGGCCCAGATCCAGGCGCATGCGGGACTTGGGATGGGTGGGAAGCAGGCTGGGAGAGGCCTGCTTCTAGCTCAATCCTGCCCCGCCAGATTCCTATGGTGCCCTTCTTGTGACTTCTCAGTCCCCTGCCTGATTGCCTCACTTGGACAAAGTGCTCTCTTCTACCTACTTCAGCCTCCAATGCCCAGGCCAGACATCACCTCCTTTCTTCCTTCCTTCCTCCATCCCATCCTGRGCACTGTACTGCAAAGCACCCCCAACAAGCTCACAGTCCAGCTGGGGAGGGGGATGGCTGTGAACAGACYCATAGAAGGCAGAACAACAAGAGCTGGGATGATTCCCCCATCCTAGCTTTGAAGATCTGGGGAGAAGATGGAGAAAAAGTGATGGAGGGGGTGTTAGGACTCTTCCAGGCAGAAGAACCAGCTTGTGTAATTGGGGCTTGAGGGGTTGGGAAGGTTAGGCCCTGTCAGTCAGCTGCAAGCTCTTTGGTGTGAAGCAGGCATAGCCAACAAGAGAAGCAGTGGCAAGAGATGGCCCAGGGGACTGGCCCTGATTCAGAGGGGAGAGGCAGAGGGTGGGGGTGCAGAACTGATATCATTGGAGAAAAATGACTGTGGTATAAGTTGGGGGGTAGTAGGGAGGAGAAATGGGCAGGTGACCAGGAAGGTGGTCACTGCATACTGGCTAGGATGATGGGGGCTGGACCCATATGACGGTTGTGGAGATGAAGGGAGAGAAGCAGGCAAATGTGAGAGTTGGGGGATGTCATGACAGAACCTGGGACGAGTTCATGGGACTAGAAGACGGCAAGGGAAGGGCCAAGGTGACCCTACGTTCGTTGCACAGTTCCAGGGGTGCCCTCCACATTGCACTATCTGGATCCAGGTTTCTGACTTGGACAGAGTGGGGTGATGAGCCGGTTTGGGGAAACAAAAAGACAGACTTGGATTTATGGAGTTTGAGGAATCTGTGGGACATCTGTGAGGACCTTTGGGCTCAGGACTGGGGTTGGAGAGAGTCTTCATCCCAGCCAGGTATGGTGGTGCACCTCTGTCATCCCAGTGACTTAGGAGGCTGAGGCAGGAGTGTGGCAGCTTCAAGGCCAACCTCAGCAGCTTAGCAGGACCCTGTCTCAAAAGGGCTGGCAATGTAGCTAACCGGTAGAGCATCCCTGGGTTCACTCCCCATTACCACACAAAATAAATAAATATATTAATTAATTAGTTAGTTAGTTAGTTTAAAAAAAAAGAGTCTTAATCCTGAGGGAGGGATGAGGAGGAYCAGGAGGCTGGGGGCAAGTCTGGCTCTCCTGCCAGCTGTCCCCTCTCTAATGGTGTGACCACATCAGTCTTTTCCACCTCTTTCCCACCTGGATGTAGAAGATCCCAGTAGCCAGCACAGGGCCTGGCCCAGAGGAGCTTCTCAGGGAAGACTTGATGAAGGAATGAATGGATGAATAAATAGGTAAATGAGGCTTCATGGCTCTCAGGTCCAGCCAAGCCCCTCTGCATTTTCTCCACTCACCACATAGATTCAGACGCAGAGTTCATGCTCATCCAATCCCCTTCCCATCCAAGGCTAGAGCCCCTGAGCAAATCCTTGGGGGAAGAGGATGGGCACCCTGCCCTTCCAACAGCCCTCCCAGTGCACTGCTGGGTGAGAGCAGTATCCCTCTCCACTCCCTGGCACATAGAACAGAATCCAACCATTTTTTACACCCATCTTCCAGCTCTGGTTGTAGGTACTCCTCACACCATTGATGCCCCTAGACATTTCCACTTCCTGCATAGCAGGTGCCTTTATGGGGAAAGGTTAACATATCAGCCCCAATTTTGCCCTTGTCAGATCCAGATCACTTACCTTGATCTCYACACCATAGCCAGGGTAGACAGAGATATAGTAGAAACAGTCCAGGCCGACATCAGAGGGTGAGCTGGGGGCTACAGGGGAGTCCAGAGAGCCCTCTGGGCCAGAGAAATTCCAGCTACAAGGGCCTGAAGGACAGGAAAAGAAGGGAGACTAAGCCCTGTTCTGGTGAAGTGGATCCAGCTAAGGCTGAACTCTAGATGTGTACATGTGTGTATGTGTCATGGAGCCCACCTCCAGGGATGTCTATTCCCCTGTTGAAAGAATGGGCCTGCCAAGGGGGCTGGGGTTGTAGCTCAACAGTAGAGCACTTGCCTAGCATGTGTGGGGCACTGGGTTCGATTCTCACCACCACATATAAATAAAGAAAATAAAGGTTCACTGAGAACTAAAAAAAAAACCGGAACTGCCTTTTACTGAGCAAGTGGCTACTATGTACAGTCTTATCTCAGTTTTCACCATGGCTCAGAGAGGTAGGTTTTCTTATTGCCATTTTATAATTGAGGCTCAGAGAGATTAAATAAAACTCCCAGGGGCATGTTGTAGTTGGTGGAATCAGGTTTTGAATCTACATGCCTCCTGCAGGCTGGACCTTGGTGCCAAAGGCCAGGGCAGGCTGGCACAGCGTCAGAGCCAGGCATTTAGGGGCCCCCCACAGCTCCCCCCATTCCCACTTCCAGATCTGCAAGCCAGCAGGTCGCTGACCTGGTGGCTGGACGGTGGTGATGGTGGTGGTAATGATGGTGCTGGTGGTGGTGGTCTCCTCGTCATCCCCTGAAGCTGTGGAGGTGGTGATGGTTCCCTCCATCCCAAGCCCCATGGTCTGGGACATGATGTCTGGAGCCCATGGCCTGCCCATGTCTCCAGGACCCTCTTGAGTTGGAGTCCATGCTCTGGTGGGGGGTGTAGTACTGGGCCTCTCCCCTGGGCGTAGGGTGGGCGCTGCCATGCTGGGCCCTGGAGGTAGAAGAGCTGTGATCCGAAGCACTGGGGCCTCTGACTCCAGGTTCCAAGGTCCCTCTCTGGATTGGGGTTGTGTGGGTGCTGCAACCATGGCCGGGGTGGGGCTGGTAAAGACTGGGCGGCTGTCCTGATTGGCCAGGCGGGGCAGGGGGCTTGGAGTGAAGGGTGTAGGTGGGTCAGGCTGAAAAGGCAGCGCTGGCCTCAGCTCCTCCTCGCCCGTCTCCAGCCCCTCTTGCAGGAATTCCTCCAACAGTGGGTGGTGGTTGAGCAGCTTCAGAGTGGGGGCCGTGGTGACAAAGTGGACACTTCGTTCTGGCTGCTCAGGTGTAGGGACCGCTGTCAGCTCCCCATCCATCTCCTTGATGCCTGTGGCTTGCCCTTCCCCCATGGTTGGGGCCTCAGAGGAGAGTCCTGAAATAATAATGGATGATCAGAGGTTCTCCTGCTACGCCACAGCGAGCAGCATCTTGCCCAACCCAGGCTGTAGGAGATCCATCTCTCTTTTGACAGAGAGCCTTGGGAGTGTGCTCATTGTTGAGAATCATGGAGCTATAAAATTTTAGAGCTAGAAGCGAGATGATATCACATACTTCAAGGATGGCACATGAACTATCCTTTCTCCTCCAGCACCAGAGACAGACATTACTAATTGATTGTCACACTATTTCCCGCTGTTCTGATTCAGCCTCAGAATCCTTCTCAACACAGACTCCAGGCAGCCGTGACATGACAAATAAATATTTGCCATTTTCAATGTAGCTCAAAGGCCTGATTTTACTAATGAGGAGGTGGGCCAGAGAAAGGAAGTGACTTGCTCAAAGTCACATGACAGTTGAGGAACTCCATGAGAACTTCAGCAAGAGCACTATCCCCCACCACAGTGACTTTTTGGCCTGAGATTTGATAGTTTCTCAGTGAAACTATTGGTTATTAGTGTTCAGGAAATACTTCACATATTTGGGATTTTATTTTAGAATTTCTCATGCATGTATTACTTCTTTGTTAGGATCCCATGAAGTCCCATTTCTCTCATTTCTATAAAATCCTTTCTTTCTCCTTCTTTCCTGATTTTATCATCCTCCTAGAGCAGTAATAAGAGTAAAAAGGGAAGAGCCACATGATGGAATTAGCCAGCATGACTTCAACTTATAGACCCATCTCTTGAAATCTTAGTTTTCTTTCTTTCTTTCTTTCTTTTTTTTTTTTTTTTTTTTGTGCTGGGGATCAAACCTAGGGACTTGTGCATATAAGGCAAGCACTCTACCAACTGAGCTGTATCCCCAGCCCAAATCTTAGTTTTCTTACCTGTGAAGTGGGGTTTCTTTCTTAGGATTGACTGAGTTAATACTACTTCTCTTTCCCATTTGACATTTGTCACTGAATTCCCTTTTCTTTCTTATGACACTAGTCAGAATTCATCTAGGGCAGGATCTAAAATAGATATAACTGGGCACAGTGGCACACACCTGTAATCCCAGCAGCTCAGGAGGCTGAGGGAGGAGGATCCAAGTTCAAAGCCAGCCTCAGCAAAAAAGAAAGAGAGAGAGAGAGAGAGAGAGAGAGAGAGAGACACTAAGCAACTTAGTGAGACCCTGTCTCTAAATAAAATACAAAATAAGGCTGGAGATGTGGCTCAGTGGTCAAGTTCAATCCCTGGTACCCCCTAAATAAATAAAATAAAATAGGTATAGGGCTGGGCTTGTGGCTCAGTGGTAAAGCTCTTGCTTAGCTTGTGTGAGGCACTGGGTTCAATTCTCAGCACCATATATAAATAAATGAAAAAAATAAAGGTCCATCAACATATAAAAAATTAAAATAAATAAATGAATAAATAAAGTAGGTATAGAATGGACATCTGGTATGTACCCCCACACCATTCATGGCATTGTTGATCAATTTTGATTACTTCTTGTTGGGGCCAGAATCCTTTTCAATACAATATCAAGACAGCCACTACCAATCAGCTAGATAAATTCTTTGCTATCTCTGGTTAGAGGTGTAGATTGCTCTGCTATCGATTATGTTGATTTATTCAACCACATAATTGGAGAAATTATGCATATTCTGCTGTGGCCCACTATGTTCCCTAGATGCTTAACTACCAAGAAAATGTCAATGGGTGCTGGCTTCAGATTCAGCTCATACACAATTTTGCCTACTCTGAGAAGGTGGAGAGGAAATTCCTGATTCCTATAGTTTTCAAAATGGCTGCTTAAGGAAAGGAAGTACAGCTAGGGTGAGATAACAGAGTTTGAAAGGAGAAGGTCGGTTCCTCTGCACGTCTGGTGGTGGGGCTGTCATTCCACAGGCTCACACCCACCCCGTAGATTGGCAGGCATGAGGAAGTACCAGATGGCCCACATTCTGTTCAGGAGACCATAGCAGCTCTGATGTGTCAGACGAATGGGAGGAGGGAGAAAATTGGGGTGGGGAAGGCAGGTACAGATTGGCATGCTCTCCATTACTCTGGGTCAGAGGGGGCCTGGGCAACCCAAAACCTTGAGACACTGGAAAAAAACTTCTATCTCCTGAGATGCCCACTAAAGTAGACCATCTGTGCCCTGGCTTTCCATGCCAGGCACTGATATCACATTGTCCAAACTAGATGCCCAGCCAGGCTCATACCCCCAGAGCAGATGGTCCGACAGTGCCCTGTGTCTTTTATCAGAATCAGTGAAGGAGGGGCCAGGCAGTCCCTGCCACGTGCCAGGAAAGGGCTACTCCCTTTGCCCATCCCCCCCAGATGTCATTTGGTCTTTGCCAGGTGAGCAGAAGCTTAGCACAACTTGGGGAGAGGAACCTTTCCATCATATAACCTGGTGCTATCTGGAACTGTACCTTGCTCACAGGTCCCTTTCTGGGACTGTCCAACTAGAGATGTGACCCATGGCTCCAAGAGTGGGTCCCTGAGGGGATCTTCATCAGGAGAGGGAAAGCACAGAGATCCTCTGACTGGCGAAGTGACCAGAGCGGGCACAGCTCTCCTGCCAGCAGCCAGGTGGGTGCCGGGCAATGGAGCGGAGCTAATGGGTACCTCCCGTCACTGTCGATTGCGCTGATTGTGTTATCTAGGGAGACTGAGCACTTGGTTAAGTGGGACCGAGATAGCATATCACACGAGCAAATTGATTCCAAAATCAGCTGCCACTTGGTCCCTGGCAGGCACCACCCACWGTCAGAAAGGGTAAGATAATCTCTGGGAGATAAACTATTTCTCAGGGGAGGGCATTGCCTCTCACCTGGTTGGCTGTCAGAGGCCTGAGGCCCTGGGCCATGCCCTGGGTCCAGGGTTATGATCAGGAGGTCAGGMGCTTCTGTCCGCCTGACTGACTGAGCTCAGGGTTAGAGGGGCTGACTGTGATACAGGGACCTGAAGAAGGAGGTGCTGGGGCCTGGATGCCCAGCCTCATCAGGTGTCTTCAGGCTCTTCCCAGACCTTGTGTTATTTAATCAACATTAACCCTCGAGATGGAACTCAAGAATTCTTCCTGGGCTGGAGATGTGGCTCAGCGGTAGC